ATCTGTTTTTGATGAGGTAAATATTTTAAAACTTTTGTTGATTAATCAGCATTGCCTAAAAAAATATGTTTCACAAATTATTAGATTCTCACATATTTATTGCTAACGATATTTGCTAGTAGTTCCGATATATTAGCATGGTTTCATTTGCCGATAACAAAGAAATTGATAGGCAAGTGATCGACACCTGAGACAAGACGAAGTTTAGAAGCAAAACTGTTGCAAATGTATATATAAATGCATATTGTGGCATCGTTTTATTACAAAGCTTAAGCTATTAACTAAATTCTTGAAATTTGTATTCTTGGAGTATTTAATGCAGAGTAAATTGTATGCAGGGTATTTGTGAAGACATGCTTAAGCTTTTGCTTAAGCCATCGTAGTTTTGCCTTCTTCTTTTTGTTTTACTCTTGGCTGAGCCGCTCCTCTCTCTTTCTCTCTTACACTCGCTGACTAAACCGACAAGATCAGCAGCAACAACAACAACAACAACAAGACGAATTAAAATTGTAAATGTCGCGACTTTGGGGATGGCAATGTCGATTCGATTCGATGCGATTCGACTGGCAAACAAGTTTACGGCCCGCGCCAGACACAGGCAGCAGCAGTATTTGTGGGTGCGGGGTGGCGCAAAGGGGCTGACTGCCGGCTGGGGGAGGGAAGCGTAACGAACGCCAAGAAATGCAGATGCAGCTGACAGCAGCATCGACTGCACAGCAAGAAAAAAACAAGTGACTTTATATTCATTTTCTTATGAATTTCAAATTAAGAACATTTTTACAATTTTGAAGTATTTTTGCTTGCAAAAGACGACTTTAAGCTGCACTTAATTTCCCCTGACTCACAATTTCCCCTACCAACACTCTTACTCAATTTTAATGCGCTTTCTTACACACAATATTTTCTTCTTTATTTTTTGGCGTGAAATTTAAACCAAACTTGAAACGCTTTAGTCACAATTCAAATTCGCTCAGTTCCCATAAGAAGCTTAGTGCGCCGGAAACTAAGAGCAGCTGCGTTATGGTGAAAAGAGAAAGCCGTGGTTCTAATCTTGTAACATGCAGATTAGCTCATATTACAATTTATATAAATAAACTAATGATATTTTATATTATTAATAGAAAAGTTTTGTTAAACTTTTCAAGAAAATACTTGAATTAATTTATTGCTCAATTTTTGAACTAGCAGCTGGTTCAAATTTGAAAGATATTGTAAAACCAAGCCCAAATATGGCTTTTAGTTTGACACCAAGAGAATATTTTTGTGCTGTGCATAGTTGTGTGGCTGTTAGCTGAGTTGCATATGGGTCGCTGCTCCATTTCCATGGAGCCACATCCTCATCAATTGGCGAGCAGCCGCAGCGGGACAGGAACATGCGACAAGTTTAAGCCAGGCAGCAAACCCTGGCTGCATAATTGCCAGTCTAAATCAATGGCTCATGCAGCCAGTTGTTGCTTTTGCCAAGCCCCGCACCACAACACACACACACACACACACACACATGTGTCAAGCTTCATTGTCAACGCGATCGTCTTGGCTCCAGCCCGTCTCCAGCTCCCTGCCACATGGCCCCCCGTCTCTCTCGATCGGCGTCATCGTCAATATTTGCCATGATCTTATCGTCAAGTAAAGTCATGTCGCCTGCCAAGGCTCTCGGTTGCCTCGTTGTTCGTTTGTTCGGTTGTTTCTCTACTTTTTTTTGGTGGCTCGACTTCAGTTGCCGCCACTTGGGCGCAATTATTTTATTTTACACTTGCAATTGGGGACAACATAACTTGGTCATAAACTTCGCTAAGGTGTGTTCCCCAATCTCTACAAAAAGAAGATGAAGAAAAAACCATAACAAGCCTTTAACTGCCCACGAGTATCTCAGTCGAAAGATCTTAAAATCTTATTGGCTGTTTTTTATAAAAACATGTATCTGAGACGGCACAGGCATGATATAATAGTTATACATATTATATCTAGACTTATTTGACAACCGATTTCTCACACTCTCTGTCTAATTCTCACAATACTCTGTATTCTAGAATACAACGCGACACTATACAACACTAGAAAGTACTATATAACATACTGTACTATAAAATACTCTCAAGTAACAGCCCATGGCTGGTTCCTATTTTTCCCATTCGCTGTCTAATCCACACAATTTGTCTCTACTATAATAAGCATGCCATTGAATGCGAAACTTTAGAACAAATTGTGATTTCTGTTAGTGTATTTGAAGCTTCGATCTGGCATAGCTGTCTACTTTTGCTTCTCCACATCATCTCTGAGTGTTGAGTTATGGCAAAAGACCTTGGACTTAAGCAGCAGCCACACTGACTGTACCGATCTGCACCCGCATCCGGATCTACGCCTGCGGCTCTTCCTCCCGCTCTGGCTGTCTTTTGGGCAATTTGTCACTGTGCCGTCGTCGGCTGAGACGACGAGAGGCGTGCGCCAAAAGACTCTGGGCTACCGGGCAGCATTAAACTGCCCCCCCCCCCCCCCCCCCCCCTTCTTGGCTACCCTGCTCCATCGCCAGCTGTGGCAGACTGGCGACTGTCCTCGTCATCTATCGCTGGCTGCCATCTGCGTACAGTTAACAAAACAAAAAAACAAAAAAAAACCGACGGCGTCTCCCTGCTCCTGCTGTGCGATGGCCATGCCGATGGGCGATTGTGAACCGGGGACTGTGAATTGGGGATTGTGAACTGGTGACTCGAGACTTGTGACTCGAGACTGGAGACTGGATACTGGCGCTCCTTCAACGACTTCTTTATGGCTCTTGATTTTTATGATTTTGCTGTTTAATGGTTCATTTGTGTGTTGCACTCGTAACCCCCCCCCCCAATTCCACTCCACTCTCCCCCTTTCTCCCTCTCTTGTTTGTGTCTGGCTTCTAGTTTTGTTATCGCCGCGTCTATATCTTCAGCTTTAGTCTCCTCCAGCCCCTGCTCCGGCACCTAGCCTCGTCGCCAGCTTGGTTTAAGTGCCGGCAGCCCCTCTTACTCTCCGGCTTAATCTCTGTATAACATTTTTGAGCATAACGCAGTCGCCGCAGCGTCGCCGGGCAACGTTTTGGCCAACTTGTATTTACCCAGTGTTTTGGCCAAGTTACGGCCAAACGTTTCGGTTAACTGCATTGTTTGTTTGCTTGTTGTGTGCATTGTTAGTGCGCGCTTTTCACTGACCCTGCCCGAACGACACCCCTTTCCCCTTAGCCAAACTGATCTGCAATTTATGTTGCATACTTTGTGGCTGTGCAACTTGCGTGGTTCTTTTTCAAGAGGATTTTCGCGTATTCCTGTCAAGCACTTAAGCGAAAGGTTTTACAAAAGCTCTTATCGATAAATTTAGTTTAGTTTCATGTCTCAATATGTGCTAAATCGATTAGACTATCGATTAGGGTGCTGTAATAAACTAGCCCTATTAGCAGCTCTAGCTTTTATTTCTAGCTGATAGAAAGATATCGAACATGTTATCGATAGTACTAACCCCACTAAGCGTGTTATCGATAACACGTTCAACACTTTAAGCACTATCGTTAATATATTTGCTCAGTTTTTAAGCCTTCTAGCCACCTTTCATTAACCGTAATCGCCTCACACACACACACACACACACACCTTGATCATGTCAAACAAGTTCTTTGGACTTCCACGGCTGTCCTCCATGGTCACATTGATTATCAACGCTTGTAATTAGCTGCATTGATTTGACATTTGCATAGCTAGCGAATAAATGTAATCGTTTTCTTTGTCATTCGCAATAACTTAGCCTTTCGGCTGTTCTAATGAGCTGCGACTAAGTCGCTGTGGCTAATGACAGCTCATCAGCTGAGCCAGCGATTAGTTGGCTTGTCAACTTTTAACGGCCTTTGGAACTTTGCTGCCAAATGGCCGACAACAACTTTGGCATCTTTTAGCTGGCCATTTGCCGAACGGCCGCAGTGACACCTTCCAGCCATGGGGCTGGCGGGGATGCGGATGCGGATGCGAGTGAGCATGAACGTTGGCAGCTGGCGCCGCCTCCATTCAGAATCACTTTATGGCTCAGTCGTCGTTGGGGCCATAATTGGACGCGGTGCCAATCATTTTAACAGCTAGGCAAACACGCAACCCAAAGCAAAGCAAAGCAAGGTAAAACCAAAGCGAACCGAAACCAAAGACAAAACCAGCAAAGCCAAAACCAAGACCAAAACCAGAACCAGTCGCCGCTGTCAGTTCATGTTCCATGTGTTCGGCAATGTCGCTGAATGATAATGCAAAATATGCAGTCAAAGAAGCTACCAGTTCCTTTGACATACAATACACTGAGCGAAAAGCGACTAGGCTTTGTTTTCTAAAATAGGAGAGGGAATTCGCTTTGCAAACTGACAAACTGCAAATGATATTATATTAAAAATAAAACTATTAAATAAATAAACACAAATAATTTTAGAGAATATAAATAAATAAAATTAGTTACAAGCGACTTAATTCCCTTTGAGATTCAATTGATAAAACATAAATATTATATTAAATTTCCGCCTCAAATACCTCAACAGAAGGTTATCCCCATTAGATTTGTTTTATGAATTTGATTGTAACATATTTGAGAGATCTAGGAAATTTCTTTGAAAAATCTTCTTAGATTGTGTTGCACAACATTTTGTGCAGTGTAGCTTTGGAGTGCTTCAGCCTGTCTGAATGACAATTGGCGCCATGGCCGCGGGGCGTTACGAGCAAGGCTGGTGGCTCGGCAATTGGTTGGGTGGATCGCGGATCGGGGATCGTGGTCTGTGATCCTGCCGGGGCACTTGTTTGTTTATAATTAGCCGCGGCCAAAACGATGCTGGCGACGGCAACGACGACGACGGCGACGGCAATTCAAATTAATGGCCAGCTACTGGTTTCTCCGGCATCTATTTTTATGGCCGATCAATTTTCTAATAACTGCCCCCTCTTCTCTCTCTGTCTCTCTCTCTCTCGCACTAATCTAATATGTTCTCTCTCTTTCTGTTTCGCTTTCAGGCGGAAATGCTGATGGAGGATTCGCGATTGTTGCCGCTGGGCTCGGTGGCGCCGGCATTGCCGCAACCACCGCCGCCGCCGCCGTCAACGCACCAGACGCTGCCCGCCAGCCTGAAGCAGCAGCATCATCATCATCAACGCGGTGGCGCCTCCGTTGCGCCCGTCGTTGCCGTTGCCGCCGCCGCCGACATTCCGAGCAAGAAGCTAAAGGCGCCCCCATTGGACAGCTATCATCCAGCCATGGACTTGCAGCACTATCACATCATGTACGCGCACTGCATGCAGCAACAACAGCAGCAGCAGCAGCAGCAGCAGCAGCGGGAGCAGCGAGAGCAGAGGGAGCTGAGAGAGCGGGAACGGGAGCGTGTGGAGCGCGTGGTGGTGGGCACGCATCCGTTGGCAAGCAGCGCGTTTCAGCCATGGCGTGCGGCAAAGCCAACGCCCGCTGCCTATTTGCAGGCATTCAGCGCGTTGTCCTCGCTGCCGTATGCCTGCCAGGAGCCGCCGGAGCTGCAGAATCCGGAACGCGTGGTGCGCAGCACGGATCGCGAACGCTTCGAGCAGCACTATCAGCCGAATGTGGCGCTGGCGCCGCGCAAAAGTATACTGTGCAAGGAGCGCGAACTGGAGCGCCAGCGTCTCCGGCAGGAGCAGGAGCTCCAGCTGCACATCAAACAGGAGCGCGCCCCAACCCCGCCCCTGGAGCCGCTGAATGGCAGCAATAGCAACCACAGCAACAGCTCCAACAGCAGTTCGCCCATGCCCAAGCCCGCGCCCGCCCATTTGGTGGTGGCGCCGGCTCCGGCTCCGGCGCCGCTGCCACCCCCGCTCCCGCCCAGCCACGCAGCGTTGCCGCCAGCGGCGCGCCATGTGCCACGCAGTCCCGCCGAGGAGTTCTCGGCGGGCAGCAATGAGATTACCTCCTCCACATCGCCGGTGCCACCAGCACTAGCACCAGCAGCAGCAGCAGCAGCAGCAGCCACAACAGTTGCAGCAACAGCTGGAGCAACTGCAGCTGGAACAGCTGGAGCTGGCACGCCGAGCAGCCACATTATAGCCACCGTTAATCAGCATGCCAAGCTGCTGCCCACAAGCAGCAATCACCACCACCACAGCCACAACCACAACCACCACCAGCACCACAACGAACCAAGTCGCATTAGGATCAACAAGAATCTGATGAGCCAGCCGCCGGTGACGGCGGCAATTGCTGCACTGCAGCCGATCTACTATAAGACGCCGCATCCGGCCGGCTATTCGCCAACGCAATCTTCCAGCGCCGGCGGCCTCAATCTCAGCACGCACTCCTCCAATGTGGTCAGCTCGCCGCACGCCAAGCAGCAGCAACTGTTGCAACAGCTGCAACATCAGCAACAGTTGCCCTCGACGGCGGCGGCAGGCCAGAATGGCAATGGCCATCTGAAGCCGCATTTGGGCAGCGAATTTGAGCTGTCGACGGACACGGACGACGACAGTCTGAATGGCGAGCCGGACAGCAGCGCCGCCATGCTGCCGCCCTGGGAGCTGGCCGTGGATGCGTTGCGCGATACGCGCGCCAAGGATCGGGAGCGTGTCCTGCACCTGCTCCAGCGGCTGTTGCACGAGAATCAAAAGTATCGCGATACCAATGGCCAGCTGGGCGAGCTGCTGCACAAGCGGGAGACGGAGATTGCGGAGCTGCGCGAGCAGCTGCAGCATTGTCGGCGCCAGTTGGAGGCGCTGGACAAGCTGCGTGTGGTGCCATTGAAGCAAACGTTGCTCGAGCAGCGTTTAGACGAGGAGATGGACGACGATCATGATCACGAGGAGGAGGAGGATGAGGAGCTGTTGTTGGGCGGCGAGGAGGCGGATAGCAATGAGACGCTCACGCAGGATCAGGCCAACAACAACAGCAGCAACAACAACAACAAGGCGCAGGCAAATGGCTTGCGGCGCAGCCCAACGCCGCTCAACTGTTGCGCAACTGTTGCACAGCAGGAGCAGGAGGCGCCGGCATGCAAACGCCTCAAGCTGCAGGCACAGCAGAAGCCCAAGCCGGCGAATGGACATGCCAAGAGTCCAAGTCAAAGCGGCGCCAGCGACGATGACGACGAAGACGAGGAGGATGAGGGGGAGGAGGAGGAGGAGGAGGAGGAAATGGGGGCACAGCAGCATTCGGACGAGGCAAGGCAGCGCACGGCGCAGGCGCAGGCGCCGCACAGCAACGCTTTGACAACGCCGCCCACAGCGACCACGCCCCAATCGCCTGACTCGGCCGCAACCGCCGGGCAGCTGTTCGACAGCAGCAACAGCAGCGATGAGTCGGCCATGAAGAAGGCGCAAATGTGCGCCAGCCAGGCGCTGGCCAAGATTACCAGCAACAACAACAACAACAACAACAACAGCAACAACAACAATAACAGCGAGGAGACAGAGCCAGAGGAGGAGGAGGAGGAAGAAGAGCAAGAGGAAGCAGAGCAGCAGGCAACAACGCAGCAGGAAGACTCGGATGATGACGAGATGCCGCTGCAGCAGCGCCAACAACAACAGCAGCAGCAACAGCAGCAGCGACGCCAGCGACGCGATGTGGCTGCGCTGCCGACGCCAGCGCCGACAGCGACGCCCATTTTAATGGCCACCAAAGCGAGCAAAAAGCAAACGCCGCCAATTACAACAACAACAGCAACAGCAACAGCAGCAACAACAATAACAACGAATTGCGAATTACAAATCAAAAAGGAAATTGTCTAAGTAGACCCCCGGCCCGGCCCGCTCCGCCCCGCCCCTTCTAGCACCAAGCAGCTGCCGCAAACGCATTGCAATTAACAGTTAGAACTTAGCTCATATAGTCGTCTCTTTCACACACACACACACACACACAGCAAGCTAGCTAAGCTTAGCTTAAATCTTTAAGAAACCAACAAAAAATGTTTAAAAATTATGCTCAATGCTTAACGCACATGAAATACCCTATCGCAGGGTATGCTGCGATAAAAACGAAAAAGAAAACACACGACATTTTTCAACACTTTCTCTAAACATTTTGTATAGCTTGTTTTGATCTCACGTATAACACAAAATTTGTTAGGCTTCCAAATTTGTTCTGTTCTATAGAAACTAATTCTAAATATGTTATACTATTATTTTGTTAAAAAAAAATTTCTTCAACTTTGCTGCAGAAGTTATCAACATTGAAACCAAAGCTTTAAATAAACAACAAAAAAAAAAAAACTAAAAACAAAACAAAAAATAAAAGTTAAAATTTAAAAGTAAAAATAACAAAAAATAACAAAAAAGAAAACTTGATTCTGTATATTGCGAGACCACAATTGATGCGTGTGTGTTTTTTTTTTTTTTTGAATTAATTATTATTAATGATTTTATAATTTAACATAATTTTAGACCTTATCTAATAAGTTTAAGGCTTAAACGAAAACTTCGAAGACATTTAAAGAGAAAATGAAGAGAAAAAGAAAAGAAATTAACTCAAAGCGAGGCTGGCAAAATTTAGCAAATTATTCAACACTGACAAGTGTTGCCCTTTCTTTCTGCTTGGCACAGATTTCCGCATAGCGGCAGTTTTACAGACCCCCCTACCCCATCTCCACCCCTTAATTTTTTATTTGAATTTATTTAAGTTCTAATTCTAACTGTACTTTTATGCCTTTTAAGTTTAGTTCTAACTTTAAGTTGGAAGCAAAAAACAAACGGTTAAAGCAAGAGCGTTGCGAGAGCGAGAGAGAAATACACACACACACAAAATGAACCCACCACTAAAAAAATAAAATTAAATTAAACAATATAAATAAAAACAAAAAGGAAAAAGGAAAAAAACGTAAACGAATTGCTAAACAAATCTTAACGAAACGTAACGCAACTAACGTAACGTAACGTAATTAAGAGAAAATAATGTTTTACAACACTGAACAAGTTGCCGCGTTAAATTGAGCAAGTCTATACAACTAAAAATCTATGCTATATATGAATATATATATACACACATACAACATACATATTTACAAACAATCTAAACATAAATACATATAAACATTAATATTTATTATAGCGTCTAATTCAACAGATTAATTAATTGTAGTCTTCTGTTTCACACTGTAAGCTTTGCTTTGTAGGCATTTAGTTAAATAGTTTCTAAAAACGAAACACATTAACAAAAATATGAAAAAAAAAAAAAAACAAATAAGAACAACAAATGCTAAACGTAGTTTTTAAGCAACTTCTTCTTTGTCTTTGTACCATTCGAATGGCAAATACTCGTAACTGTTATTGTAAATATTATTTCTATCGATGAATCGATAAAGCGATCTATCGATATGTAACGTACTTTCGATTTCGTTGCCAACACTCTTTGTGAATGTTGCTTTGGAGAAGAAGAAGCAGCAGCAGCAGCAGCAGCAGCTGATAAATTGTAGCCAAGCCAAGAGCCAAGCGAAAGCGCGCGAGCACAGATTTCAAAAATCTATAAACTTTTGTTAAACATATATATTATATTATCGAACGCACAGAGCCAATTCATAAACTAAATTTTAAATTTTCATTATATGCCTGTGTGTGTTTTTTGTACTTTCTAAAAGAAAACCAAGAAAATATAAAGAATTTCGAAGCAACAACAAAAAAATAAATGAAATTTAAACCAAAATTCAAATTTAGCCCTAAGCGTCGCCAGCGGAAAACGTGTAAAATTGTAAAAAAAAATAAAAAAAAAAACAAACATTTATTAATAAACAAATGGAAATTACAATTAAAATAAAATATATACATTTACAGTTTAACAGCAACAACAACAACAAAAAACCATAAACAATTGTTATGCAAATTTAAAAAGTTATTTAAATTAAACGCAAAAAAAATGAGAAAACAAAAAAATAAAAATAAAACAAAGAAACGAATTACAAATTGCTATGCAAAAATGGTAAATAATAAAAAATAAAAGAAAAAACAACAAATTATTGTACATTAATTATTTATGTTCATTTTGTGTTTCATTTACAAAAATAATTCCAACAGAAAACAGAAACAATCTCCCTCCACCCCCATCCCCCCGCCCTTCACTCAGAAACAGAACCAGAAACTAAAGTGAAAAATTAGAAAATCATCAAAAGGAAAAACAAGAGGAAAAACTAACAAGAAGGTTAATCAAAACGGTTTTCACAACATTTTTTATATATTAAAGGCCAAATTTTACAAATTACAAAAATAAAGAGCATAAAAATAAATGCGCAGCGAAACGTCAACAATTTTTGCAGTTTTTTGTACAATTATTTCTTTTGCTAACGACCCAAAGAACAGTTATATATTTATTAACAAAATAATAATTATTAAACGAAAAAATAAAACAAAAAACAATCATTTTATTAACAAAAATATATAAAACAAATTTTACAAAAAAAAAAAAAAAACAAGCACAAAAAAAAACGAGAAATGAGCCCCAAAAAAAAAATTAAAAGCTTGAAAAAACAAAATAAATATTGTTAAAAAATGTATTCAAAAACAACAACAACAACAATTAATACATGGCATTAGTTATTAACAAATACGCATGCATATACAGAAATCGGCGTCTTGTCAATATATTATTATTACTATTATGATTATTGCATAATAATTACAATAATTATTATTAACTATTATTTATTTATGTGACATTCAGAATGCAAATAAAATGTACAAATTGTGGACGAAACGGTCAACGGATGCGATTAAAATAAACAAAAAAAAAAAACCAAGTTTAATTAAATTAAACAGTTAGAGGACAAACAACAAACAACAACAACAACAATTTGACTTCAACGTTTCATATTTAAGTAGTGCAGCAACAAATAAAACAAAATTATTAACAAAAATAATAATAAAAAAACTAACAAAACGAAAAAAAAGCGAAAAATTATTACATATGTAAAGTCAAGACAAAATACACAAACAACAACAAAACGGTAAATATTATGCATAATAAATATTTGAAAAACATAAAATCAAATCTATTTTTTATTACAATATTTTTTTGATTTTTAATTTGTTGCAGTCTTTTGTAATTATTTGCGGCATGCTTTTGGGCGGCGCGCTTACGATTTGCCAGTCTTTTTATGTTGCATACTTTCGAGCGGATATGAAGAACGGCTTTAGCGAATACAACAACCCTGCCTGCTCAACCCGTTAACGCGACTACCTGTCAATAGATGGCGGCAATTCGGCCTGGCTGCTACTCTTGACAAAAGTACCCCGACTATGCGGCACTTGCACGGTTAGCTGATAGATGGCGCTTTGCGAATTTCCTGCTTGCTAACGTATTTTAGAAATTCAAATAATTGAAAACAGCAAAAATAAACTACAAAACTGTATAAAATTTGATTCAAAGCAAATTGAAAGGTCAAAGGAGGTCAAACCATAATGAAAGTGTCATTCAACAATCTTTAAGCTCAAAGGAAAAAGTTTGTTTAAGCAAGTTAATAATAGATGAGCAGATATTCCAAAGCAAAAGTTCAATTCACAAGAAAAACAACTTAGCTTATATGTAATTGAATAAAGGAAATATGAAATTCACTTACCTCTGTCCAAAAAACTCTCTTGCAAAAGCCAAAGAGAAAGCGCAAGCTCCAGCATGCGGTAGATGAAAAAAAAAAGGAGGCAAAAAAAGAGGGCAAGGGCCTGTTTAAGTGTGCCGCATGGAATCGCTGGGTCTCGGTCGCTTCAGTTGCTCTTCTTCAGTCTCAACGAGCGAGCCACACGGAACGCGGCGCGTGCGCATGACAGCAAAGTTTTCTTTTTTGAGGGGGGGAGCTGTAAAGAAGTGAAAAGAACTTTAGTTAAACTGTGTGATTTAAGCTAAAGTCTATTTGATATTAATCAAAGGCAGCAGAGTTCACAAAGTGCAGTCTAATTGCTTTTAGTCGACTTGATTTTCGTTTGTGGCGTGGGTTTTATTTTATTTTTTTTGTTTTTTGTTTCGTGTTGTCTTTTAGCGTTTTCTGGCGAAACCGGTTTTCGCTCTTTTCGAGCACGCAAACGGAACGTGGAACTGAAAACATAAACAAAACAGAACAAAAACAAAATCCGCAACAAGAAAAACCAAAAACGAAAAACGGAAAAAGAAGGAAAGGAAACACATCGCTTGCTTGAAAATGAGCGCACGTTCGCCGCACAGCGATCCCGCCTTGGCCGGATTGCCGCAGCTAATTGAAGATTTGCAGCGACTGTGCGAGGATCAGGACAGCGCCGATGTGGTCTTTATATGTGGTCGGGACGACGAGAAGATCTACGCACACAGAAGCATTCTTATGGCGCGGTTAGTTATCAGTCCAATACGAAATACGATGCAATCTAATTAGATTTTATATTGCGCACAAATGTTACCAATTGGTTTTTTTTTTCTCCACAAATGTAATACGGTAACACGCACGACATTTAACTGTTTGTTACTTCATCGTGCTCGGTCGTGTCACGCGAGAAGAAACGTCGCAATTCTTAAGTCTGGGCCCAGTCTGATTGGACTGGTTCTCCTTTTATGGCACTGCACTGCGCGACTGCGTGCAGTCATTTGCGGCTTTAGCACGTGCCGCACACTGATTGATTTGATAAGTTAATTAACGTTTTCTTTAATACTAGCTGCAAGAGCTTTAAGACCGCAAAGCGCGGTGAGGTCTGCCGGATTCCCATTCCGGGCTGCACAGTCTCGCCGGCGGCACCGGGCACTGGCACGCCGACTGCAATACGATTGCCGCATATTAATGCCGAATTGTTTCGACAGTTTATATTGTATGTGTACACTGCAAAGGTTGGTAGCATACCCAATTCGCCTAATCTAACATACTCACCAGCATTTATCTTTTTGTACAGCTTATGCTGCAGGATTATCGCGTCTTCGAAATGTTAACCCTGGCTCAAGACATGGGCGTCTTTGAGCTGCGTGCAGCTTGCGAGGATCATGTTATTTCCACACTGTCTGTAGATAATGCATGCACTTTTTTGACCGCAGTCATGGATATTCACGAGAAAGCAGGTGCGTTACTTTAAAATTGTGTATTTTCGGTTTATAAATTTATTTCGGCCGCGGCTATTCGATATAAAAAAGGCACTTTTGCCATTCAACACGCGCGAGTTTTCAGAGTCGCACTAATATCGATTAGAAAAAAAAACAGCTGTTGGCGATGGTAAAACTATCGATGCTTTAATCATAACAAACTATTGAATGCATCATGTGGCTGCTTTCGATACTATTGTTATGGCACGTTTTTATTTACCCACCAAAATGCAAAACATGTATTAAACATTTAGTTTTTATGGTTCTCTTTTTATACAACAGGTAAAACTAAGTTGAACAAACTAATAACAACGATTAGTTGAATGCGCAGTCGTAGGCCCCATTAACTGCTCACATTTTTGATTGTTCACGTTGTAACCTCTGCCCGTAGGTTCGCGAAATAAGGTTCCACGAGTCCATGAAACGGTCCATACACAGGGACACGCATTTCTAGAAACAATTAGTATGGTTCATTCCAGAGCACCGATTTTTAGACATTAATGTGGCATAGGCTCGCGAACATACCTGCTCAGATGCGTCAAGCGATGTTCCTGGCTTGTTAATGCATTTCTTGAAGCATTTTGTGGTCATTTGTGTGAGCAACTCTTGCGCATTTGCAACCGCAATTTGTTGCTTCACTTGGTCCATTATTTCACCCTTATCAACGGTGTGAGCCATGTTTTTGTTTATTTTGAGGCAAAAACTTCTCAAATTCCTCAAACCGAGATCTTCTGACGCAACCGGCCTGTATTCAACTATCGATATTAGCCTACTAGGCTATCGTGTTTTCTCGTGACTAGGGTTTCAGGTGCGATAGTATCGATCACAATACTTTTGCTCACCGAAAAAGACGCCGGCAGCAGCAGGGAAAAAAAAACAGAAAACGTTTTTGCGAAAAAATATATTAAACGTAGACTAAAGTCAATAACAAAGCACCAAAATGTCCTTCAAAGGCAACCCAAAGGTGCAAAAGGTGATGGTGCAGCCCATCAACCTGATCTTTCGTTACCTGCAAAGCCGTTCGCGCGTCCAAGTGTGGCTCTACGAGAACATATCGCTGCGCATCGAGGGCCACATTGTGGGCTTTGACGAGTACATGAATCTGGTGCTGGATGATGCCGAGGAGGTGTATATTAAAACGCGCCAACGCAAGAATCTTGGCCGCATCATGCTCAAGGGGGACAACATAACGCTTATACAGAATGTCAGCCCGTCCAAGGATTAGGCTTAATTCTCGTAAAACTAATAAAAAAACCATACATCATAAGTGATTTAATTGTAAGCCGAAAGGTTATCCACAATAAAATGAAACAACTTTTATATGAAACTGGCGACTTTTAATGGGAACGTGTGGCACAGCTCAGGTGAATTGAATGCTTAAATGTCCCAATTATTCATGTCTATATCCACTTTGCAGGTGCCAAGTGCGCCGCTTCGTTTATGGAGCGCTGCATCATTTATATCGGAGAGAATGCCGGCGAGTGTGTTAAAACAAACTCGTTTCTTACACTTACCAAGGAGGCGCTCATCAAAATCATATCATCGGACTATGTAGGCGCAACCTTGAACTTATCTTCGTTCTTGATATGAACTTTGTTTTTCACTTTCAGTTCTGCCTGGAGGAGGAGGAGGTGTGGCGCTGTGTTTTAGCCTGGGCCAAATACCAGGCGGGCGTCACCCAGCCCACAGCCCACTGGACCGAGGAAGAGCGTGCTCGCGTCTGTCAGCATTTGAGCGGCGTGATGGGGCATGTGCGCCTGCTGTTGATCGATAGCCAGGTGTTTGCCGAGGAAGTGGAGCCCACTGGCGCTGTGCCCATGGAGCTCTCGCTGGAACGCTATCGCTACGCTGCCCTGCATCCCAATAAGTTGGTGGACAATGATAAGCGCCTGCAGCCGCGCCTTGCGGTCAACATGTTTCCGGGCTCGCAAATCTTGCGCAACGATAAGCTGCCATTGCAGGGCATACTCAACGGCTGGTTTGGTGTGCCCAAGCAGAGCTGGCGCTTGGTTTTTCGCGCCTCGACGCACGGCTTTGGCTCAAGCTCGTTTCATCGTTATTGCGATGGCGTCGCCCCGTGCATGGTTATTGGATTGGGCGCACATGGCGAGATTAGCGGTGGCTATACGGATGTCGCCTGGGCCAAGACCAGTCGCAAGGGCGGCTATTTGCATTCGGAGCGCGCATTCCTGTTCATGTTGAATCCACCGAATGGCGAACAGCCCGCCAAATTTGATATCGTCAAGAAACCATATGCCATCTGCTATCATCCAGAGTAAGTGACTGTCAAGAGTTGATCTATTAAAAAGCTGCTATTAATCCATGCCATAACCGAACAGCTGCGGTCCCATATTTGGCGCTGGTGCCGATCTGCTCATATCCAGCAACTGTAACGTGAACACGGACTCGTACTCCAATTTGCCACACTCCTACGACGGACCCAGCGCCGCACATGTGACGCTCTTTGGCGATTACAATTTCGCGATCAGCGATTATGAAGTTTACACTCTGGCCGCCACCCACGGGCATGGGCACGGGCACAGTCATAGCCAAAGCCTGGCGAGCAATGGACAAGCGCCGGGCGTGCCCAGCAAAACAAAATATGATAGATACTAAGTTACCAATTAGACAGAAATTTTTGTAGTTCCAATTGCCCAGCAGCTCTCAGCTGGCAATAAAATTCAGATCATAATCCCAGCTGGCCATTTGCAAATGGTATTCGGAGTCAAGTTTATGACATCGCACAAGGTAACCACCAGAAATGGAAAGGTAATTAATGATTGGAAAATTATTGTCGGAGTTTTTTTCTTTTTTTTGTTTTTGTTAGCCAACTTCTTGGTTGCCAAGAACCAAAATAATTAACTCGTTTCCCTGTGTCTTTGTGTGTAAAGCTGAAAGTGTTGGGCGGCGGCTTCAGTTCAAGCATGCGAGGGTGGCTCCAGGAGTTTGTATAAACTCATCTTAGTAAGCAAAATGTTTTTTAAGGAAAGAACTTTTTGGAAGCTAACTATTTCGTGGCATTGCTATGCCTCGTCTTTGTTTTCCGCATACGTAAATTCTCTATTGTTTTTTTTTTTTTTTCAATTTTAGTTTTTATTTCAATTCTAAGTTTAACCAATCTTTTTACTTTGCCCGGCCGCTAAGGCCCTTCAAGGTTCGATTCGTGGTAATACAGATTGGAATTCCGAATTTGAATCGCTGCTTTTGAAAATCACTTGAATTTCTAGTTATTACTCAAACAATTCTCGCTAACAATCGATTCGTTTAGTAACAAATAAATAACTTGACTTTATATATATAACAAACAATGAATGTGCTGTGCACTTGAACCTGGCGCTGGGGTCCACACCTCTCGCATAATTGACAAAGAAAAACAAATGCGTAAAAGGTACATTTCAGATCGGTTCAGTTCAGTACGGGCTAGAATAATAAGTCACTTATAATGGCCAATGCTTGAGTTATAGTAATATATGTAGAGTCCGGACGGCCCCCTCTCAGCGTTCGACCGTCTAGAGAGGTGTGCACATGGCGCTGAAGTTGATCTCAACTGGTTTTCAACTACTTTTCAAAATGCTTCTGATAAATTGGTCCACGCTTTAAATTGGTTCTAATTAAAGCGATTTTTTTCCTCTTTTTATATTTTATGCTGATCGAATCGATCAACGACTATGGCATCTAAGGCGCCTCCCCGCCCGATCCCTTCTACATATTTTGTGTCATTCGTCGCGGAGCTCGGGAATCGGTATAGGAATTGAAATTCAAACAACAAACACTTGATGTTTGGCGTTTTATTTTATTGTGACTGCACAAAAGATTGGCAGTTAAAATTTTTTGTTAACGACTTAAGGCCAAAGCTCGAGAGCACATTTCGATAAGGCAGCCAGCTTTATACAGTATCTCATGTTGTGTTTGTATTTAGTTTTGACAGGCGACGTCCCCCCCTCCCTCCCTTACCACCCCTCACTTTTTTTTTGTTTGTTAAAAAAAAGCCTGAGGGCGCCCAGGCCGCGACAGGCGCTAGCAGAATGTCATTTTTAATTTAATTTTTATTTTCGTTGATCTCGCGGATTGTCAAGTGGATAAGATAAGTTCAGACAATTAACAAGAAGTGATCCATAAAAAAAAAAAAGGGAAAGGCAAGGCACATAAACTGGCGCTTGCCTTTGTCACTCTGTGTGTTGGGGCCAACTATGTGCGAGTACTCGGAGGAAACTAGTTCTAGCTTTGGCTCTATTCAAACAATCCATAATGCATAAGTATGTGGGTATATGTTCAAGCAGATCGATTTTAGGGCTGGCAAATGCGGACAATTTGTGACGTTTCTATACTTATATAACATATAATACCTTGTCCTTAAATTAATTCCCCAAATATTATATTTGAAATAGCTATTTAACGAACCAAAAACCTAGAGGAAGTTCACGAGCAGGCGAAACAAAGGGTTCAACTTTGAATTGAACCAGCAATTTTTTAAAAAAAGTTCAACTCTTCTTCGTTTTTGTTAAAAGCTTTGAAATTACGTTGAGCGTGAAAATCTTTGTGCAAGCACAAATTCCAACCAAATCCTGGAACCAAGAACTTGAATCGAACCAGCACTGACAAAAAAAGTTCAACTTCAAGTTTTCTATTAAAAGTTGATTTGAATCTAATCGGTTTAAGTCGGAAATTTCTTTATTTTAGGTTACTCCTAAATTGTATACAATATGACAAGTTCTAGCCAAAAGCTTGAACAGGTTCACGAGTCAGGCGAGATTTAAGGCCTGCATATACAAAATACAATTGTTTATTTCGAGCTTTAGTTGAACCAACCCTGGTCGCAACGAATGTGCGATATTTGTTGGGCTTGGTCAGCGTTGTCCGTCATAAAACAAAATGCCTGCTATTAGCCATGTATCCATGGCCATGGCGTGGTCAACTCTTGGTCAACAGCTGGACAGCCGGATAGCCGGACAGCTGGCCAGCCCATGTGCTACAGTTAACTTGAACCCATTTACATATGTATATCCATGTATAGGGGCTACAAAGGCGAACCGCTTTATCTCTGGCTAAACAGCAAAAGATTGGTTTGAACCTTTCGAAAAGCAATGTTCTGACATTCCATTGGGCCACAGCCCAAGCAATTCATGTGCCATTTATAGGTTTTCCGACTGGCATAAATGAATATTATCAATAGTTTTTTTATGGTGTGAATCACTACACAGATTCGTGCCCAACAGGAGCTGGGTGCTCATTAGGGCGGATTTCCCTGACACATTCATGTGAAAGATAAGATCATCTGGCAAGTTAGCTAATGCATCCGTTTCCGTAAACGGACTCTGACTGACAGCTCGCGATTGGCAAACAGGTGTGAGAGAGACTGACAGTCTATATAGAGTTAGAGAGAGAGAGAGAGAGGGGGGGGGGGGGGGGGGAGTGGGGCTGCTCCAGTTAAGAGGTGTTAATATGCAAATGGAAGCTGTCTCAGCTGGCGTGACGTAGACGTGTCTACGCCCTCGTACAGCTGTCTAAGCACCCACCTTCGCGGCTAGAGTCATCATCTTTATGATCATCATCATCATTATGATCATTTTGATCATTATGATCATCATGAGCACTAGCTCATCGCCAAATGCACTCGGCATTACGGCGACATAGCTGAAAGATGCCCCTCCACACGCTGCAGAACCCAACGCTGTAATCTCTAGACTCTAGTTCTGGTCAAAGTCTCTCAAGAGAGAGAGACGTCTCTTGCGAGAGGCAGAGAGAGAGAGAGAGACAGAGGCAGAGCTAGAGCGAGTATTTGCTCTCTTAAGCAAACGTTACTCTTTGCTGCTCTTCACAACCTGTTTTTTTTCAAGCCCACTTCAAAAATACTTTTGCTTTTCATTGCCTTCAAGACGACAACGACGATTTGGTTTGGTGATTAATATGCGCTTTTCGAAAATGAAACAAACGAGTCGCCAAAATGGAACAACAAAAAAAAAACCAACTGCTGCAGCGAGTCAACCCAAAACATTGGCCCAGGTCACAAATTATCTGACAAATAGTCTGCCAAGCCCTCAGACTAAGCCCTAAGCCTAAACCAAATTCCTTCAAAGTTTTTGTTAATGTAACTAAATTTTGACATGATATATTTAATTAAAACAAATGTTTATAAATATTTAATGCTTGACATATTTTTTGATCTTTTATATTGAAGATTAGAAATTTGTTGTGTTTTTTTTAAATACAATTTTTAAAATTTAATATTTAAAATTTTAATTATTATTATTTTATATAAAATATCAAAGAGCATTATCGGGAACAATTT